GTACTCGAACGGGATTCCACCACCTCAGCGGCCGCAGTGTTCCCGCATCCAGCGGCTCTGAGCTGGATGCAGGAACCGCTCACCGGGAACCGCTCACAACACAACACGGTGAGCGCGTAGCCGCAACGTGACCATGTACCCAAGACCATAAACGCGCACTGGACCATGCATGTATTTTCGTAATTTGTGCACCCAATAAATACACCGCTGCAGAAAACAGTCCGCGTCTCCCCTCTCCTCTAAATTAAAGCTCGGGTACCTAAATTTTCCATTGCATTAAAAGTTCATGTTTGAGCCCAAAAGTAAAATGTTGTGAACAGATTAATCAGATTTAGACCCAGAAAATGGCTGACAATATGCATTTCAGAAATGTTTACCAATTCTCATCCCTGTAACAAACAATAGTATTGTCTGTGCCCACCTCCCTCACTCTGAGACATGTTTATTACTCTGTTTAATGTAGACTATTGTACTTTATTTTATTGTTGAAACTGCAGACATCCTGATCCTCTACAGTATTTGCTTCCACATACTGTATAAACCAGGGGTCGGCAACCTTTAGTGCCCCTAAAGTGGCTCCTGGAGCCTTTTCAAAAATGTCTGAAAATGGAGTGTGAGGGCTATATTTTATTTCTAGTTTGAATGTGGTTTCTGTAGGAGGAAAAACATTCTTGACGTTTTTCAATGCTGAAAAAACTTGTATAAGTAATATTAAATTTTAGCATTTCTGTCAACGTAGTGCGTCATATCCTGTGACACGGCCCGTGCCGGGCGGCCGCTGCTGTAAACAAACCGGCGTGTGTGCATCATAGACTGTGTGTGCGCATGGATCCCAAAGATAAAGAGAGAGAGTCGATAAGACTGGACTAAGAATGAATATGAACATTTGCTTTCAGTCAATGAGGAAGGACTGCTTCATGTTTGCGATGTAATGAAAAGTTTTGTTGCAAGAGGAGCAACAATGTTGTTGCAACAATGAAGCTTTAAACACTGTTCACTGAAAGATTCATTAATCATAAAGTCAGAGCACCTATTTGCAGACTTCAAATACCTTCGCAAAGACGGTGAAAGAAAAGGCCATTAAGGACATTCAGCTCCAGCAACTTCTGCCTGTGATGTGATCGATATGAACAGACAGGGATGCAGGTGAACTCTGAGCCAAAAAGCAGATGTATTTACTGTATTTGTACAATTGCATGAAGGTTATACTTAAAGCAGAGTCGTCACGTGGTGTGTCATTCTCTCCAGGACACGCTGCAATGAAAATACACATTTGATAATCATGAATGGTTTTTATGTGTTTGTAGCCTTTACTTTGTCATTTAGATATTAGGCTAATATAGCTAATATAGCTAATGTAGCTAAGGTAGCTAATGTAGCTAATGTAGCTAATACAGCTTCAGCCCTTCATATAAGCCTTATACAACGCTGTTTTGTTTTTTTTGCGGCTCCAGACAGATGTTGTTTTTAGTTTTTTTGTCAAATATGGCTCCTTGAACCTTTTTAGTTGCCTGGGCCGCTAAGAAGGAAAAAATGCCCGGGCCGTTTTTTTGTCCCAGTCCAGCCTTGCTGATGATGTAAACACAGACTATGTATTAGAGTATTTCACTTTGAATTCACAAAACATATTTAGCATTTCAGTGAAAAGCAGCGTACCAGCCCTCATTCAGCCAATCAGCTCTCAGTATGTTAAAGATTAAATGCTTTCAAATAAGATTCAGGCCTGTTCAGACGGAGACAATTTCAGTTGTATCAGCAAAAGTTTCTTGTCTCATTTAGCTATCATCCACACAAAGCCGCATAGAGTTAAAAATCTTTTTGAAACCTGGTCCCAGAGAGAAGTTTGAAACCACCGTCTCTATGGAACTTTTTCAACATGACATCACCACTGCAGCTCTGCGCTCATTCAGTGTCCAGGACTGACCTGAAATATGATGTTTGCCACATGTGACATAAAGACTACATATAAATATATTCACCACGGAGTAAAAAATCCACGCCAAATGTTTTTCCTAATTTTAGTCTCATCTGAAGCAAAGTCTTCTCATCTCTCCCCCTGCTGTGCATTTAGGGTTTAAGCTGTTAGTGTGAGTTAAAGAGAGGGAGGAGAGGGGGGTGAGCTGCACGTTTGTCTGATTTGACGTTACACGTACATTACAATGCTCTCAGGTGAAACGGATTTGTTTTTCAGTTTTGTGGATGGATGCATTCACAGAGCATCAAACTATACATTGTTTTGTCTTCGTCTGGACAGGGCCAAAAACAGCATGTTGTGATTCATCCCAAAATGTTACCAGACCCTTTCTGTTGATACAAACAAAATGAAAACGTTGGATACTTCAGCTTAAACTAATTATCTCCATGGGGTATGCATGCAAATATGGATTACCACCTCCACAATAACTTTTAGTAGAATAGTTCATATTATGAGAACATTTTGCTTTATTTAATCGGTGTATAAATTGTGTACTTAGGGGAGATGTTAGGGAGTTCTGGTTGAAGAGGTGAGACCATTTGCAAAACAGGCCGCAGGTCTCAGGGGTTCCAGTTGCACCCACACACGGTGTCCTCCCTGCACACCGTTGCTTGTTTGTGCTTAATAAGGGGTATAATTAAGCTCATTGGTATTCTAGGACACTTGCTCCAGCTGTTTCCTTGAGCTGAGGTCATTGATTCAAATGGCAAAATGGGGAGTCTGGAATCACCTCTGTGAGGAGCCAGTCAGTCAGTAAGCTTTTGTTGCAGACTGATGGACAGGGCTGGTGGGTGCAAAAGGGTCCCTGAAAAGACAGCTCATCAGTCAGTTCTATAGAGATTTACAGCTACATGCATGTTGATATGAAATATTCTAATTAATTGTTCCTCGTCTTTTTGTGCCTGATGCATTGCTTGTATAGTTGCCAAATCCACACACAGCTATTTATCATTCTGTGTGAGTGGAAGTCAACAAGGGCTAAATGCTCTGTTTTTTACATGTGATAAATAGATGGCCTCGTTAGGATGTTTTACTATGTTTGTCTTTCCTTGATGCAAAAAGGAAATCTATGTGAGATGAAGAGATAAGGTTACTGCTACTTGTGGGTATCAAAACACTCAAACTGAGAACTGTAGCTTAACTGCATATATATAATCTAATTTTAAATTAAACAAAAGTCTTTGTTTGTGTTTGTGTTCATTTGAACAATGTTGCATCAATGGTGTTGGTCATCTCAATTCCAAAAAACGCACTGAGAAGAAAAATAGGCAATTTTGGATAGAACTTGCAATTACACTGTCTCACAGCTGGCCTGGGAATGCCTTGGGATTCCCCTGAATTAGGAAATGTGTGTGATGAGGAAGTCTGCTCGGACTGCTGGCCCTGTGGCACGGCAACAGATATAGTAGACGTAAACTTTGTTTTGTAATTTGTCAAAAGTGCTTACAACATAAAATGTGGTTTAATAATGGTGGTATCCTTCTCCAACTAAAATCCATTGCGGTACTAACCATGCGTATTGTGACTATAGATCCATCTGATGAAGTGCAACATCAGGTCACAGAGTTTCACTGTACCGCTCTGTATTGCATCGATAAGCAGACTTTAAGCTGCATTGAGCTGAGGCTGCACTACATTGTCTGCCAGAATGAATTATTGCTAATACTGACTTCTGAGGTCTGCAAACGTCTACATGAAAAATATTCCCCTTTCATTAAAGTCAATAATTGTTTAATGTAAAAGATTTTAGCATCTATTGTCTTTGGACTTAATTTCTAGTTTATCCACCATTAAGTTCTATCTTTTTAGAAATCTATTCATATAATCTCTGACCAAACATCTAAATAAGCATAAATCATTACATCACATTTTCCGATACAACACAAAAATGCAAATGTTTATTTAGTTTTTCTGACATAGCTTTGCTTATCATTATAGCCTCACATTTTTGAATTGTTGTCCTATTTCCTCATGGTTCCTTTTCCTACCCTTCTTAACTTTGTTCCCCTGGAAAGTTAAAAGCAATCAAAGGCTTTGCATCCGACAGCTCAGTGCCTGTGCGCTTTTCTCTTTCCCTTTTCTTGGGCAAACAGTGGCACCTTTTTGACAAAGAGCCCTCATTTCTCCAGGAAGGGGTGCTTCAAATCTCTGCAGAGGTTTGCCTCGTTTTGACATAGTTGCTATATAGGGAATACAATGCCAGTCATTTACTGGCTCCAAAGCTCCCAAACTCCTCCGGGACCCAGAGTACTTTTTATCTGCTCTGAGAGGATGTGGTCCACATGTCACCTCATAACACTCACATTAACATATTGTTCACAGGTGCAGCGGTTGCTTTGATATAGAAAAGAACAGTTTTTCTTTGCCAGATGTCAGATTAGGAAGGAATCAAAATGTTGATTTGTGGCTGATAATTTAGCTTTAAAAAGTCCACTAAAACCTTAAAATAAATCTTTGAATCTTTGCAAAATAAAACAGCTTTTATCTAAACAAGTTTGCACAAATTAGGGATGAATGTTGAATATTGTGTGTGCTAAGAAATTGAGAGTTTCATGTCCATGAGGATTTCATGGACTCTTCTTTTTATGGACAAATCTTTCCTTGTCTGTTTTCATCCCAATATAAAATACCGTACAAACATAGCCAACCTTCAATTTTCCTTAAACCGTTTCATGGGTTTTAAGATAATGAATGATACATGTCATAATACATAATACAATTTACTGTACCCTTTTTCAAACTATTGAAATTAAACTGTCTGACACTTTTTATTAGTAAGTACATAATTTCTCCAAAATTCTGTTACACTAAAACTATTTCAAACAAAGTGTTCACCAGTTTAAAAAGCATTATGAGTAAATTATTTGAGCTATTTTAGCTTATTTTTGTCAAATATGTTAGTGATGAATGTTGAACAGAAACAATATCGATGCAGTTCACGTGCCAGATTGAATGCATCTATTGAAGGAAGTTGATATTTGTTTTTTGAACCAAGAAACTAAACTTTTGTGTGAATCTTTTTCAGGATGACGAGCCAATCAGAGGCCGGAGCAGCGCACAAATTCGAAAGTTCCTCAACCAGCATCACAAAAAGTTACCATGGAAACAAGAGGTAAATTATGTTGTAATGTTTCCCTCCTCTTTTATATCTGTGCTTCTTCAACTACTATTGATTTTCCCCAGACTGATGACAATAAAATGTTAAGCTCTTTCTCTTCTTTCCAATGGCAATCAGCCAATTGCCGCCAAGGCCACTTAGATCTACACTGCTGCATTACCAACAACCTTTTATCAAAAATAGTTTTATTAACACGCCTTTATCACTGCTTTTGTAATCGAGTCCCTGCATCTTTATTGACTTACAGGATCATTTAAGTTCAATTTCTAAATATCTGTGAGGAAAAATAGAGATCTACTTTCTTCTGCGATAAGCTTGCTGCTAGAACAAAATGGTTATGATGATAAATGATTTCTTTACAATAATAATATTTCATCGGCGCACATAAGCGGGCTGCATGTAAAGTCACCTCTTGACCTCCAGATTACAAGTTGAGGTGATTCATTCTAATTTCCCAGCTCATTTACTGATGTAGTTTGCACATTTTCCGTTACAAAGGGAGCAGCAGACAGGGCAATTAGGTGGTGAATTTGTGATAAGAAACGCAAGGCTGGATTCGTAACCTGTTCACACTAGTTTAATTAAAAGAGTGAGTATGTGTGTGTGGGATTAATCCATAGACTGTATACGGACGTAGTCACGCCTGTCTCTCCGCCATTCTAACTAATGGGCCAAAAATTGGGCTTTCATGGAGTAATTCAAAATGGCCGCGGGGGCTGGAAAATGTGAAAAAAGTTAAAACACATCTGCGCATGCGTCAGATGGCACGAGCCCCATTCATTTAAACAAGTGACTTCAAAAATTCACAGCGAGTAAACCAGAGTGGTCCAGAACACCCCCCTCAGCATTGACACACATGTGGAACGGAGCTTTGGGCCAAGAGCCAACTTTTGGACCATCCTGTAAAGACGTTTTCGAGAGGTCTGCTAATGCTATATGTTAGCATTGGCTAATTCTTATTCGGGGTCCACCCCCATCGGCCCGGGGTGGTATTGCAAGCATGTCAGCGCATGTCATTTTGGAGCAATACAAAACAATAAATGTTTTGTGTTGCTTTTCCTCTACCTCTTTGGTTAGTGTGGAACTATCTCAAACCCCAATCCCAGACCCAAAAGTCACCAGTCAAGTGAAAAGCCAAGCCGTTTCTTCACATTCAATTTATTTGCCAAAATGTTATCAGTGCTGAACAAGAGTTAGCCACATTAGTGAAGCACTTCCAGTTTAAAATGTTGCTTTTACAACTTGAGGCAAAACAAAATGTGATAAACAACACACAGTTCTGCTGTTTTATGCTGGGAACCCGAAGGAGCACAAACTATCTTTATTTTCGGCCTCAAGCAGTACTCCCTAATAATAATAATGATTATAATGCTTCGGTTTTATATAGCGCTTTTCTGGACACTTAAAGACACTTCTGATGTCATTATTCTTCCACTCCATACACAGTGGTGATAATACTCAATTTCAACAAAAACTACAAGGACCCTTCTAATTCCACCTGGACAATTTAAATAAGCAAGCAATATTATATAAAGTCTCACACAAGTCTTCAACACCGCACACGTACCCTTCATCCTTTTGGGTTGACCTAATTTGACTGAATATTTTATACAAATTTGCTGAATGAATAGTAAAAAGATCTTTCAAAACTTTAATTGTCTGCAATATCTGAGACAGAGAAAGTGTGATCGTGCTTCTCCGCTGCCTATGTGTCCTAATTACCCACACTCTTGTTTTGTTGCGGCACGGCCAAGATGGCAGAGGTTTGAGATCTGCTGAGCTCGCGCTGTCAGAAGCTGGGAGTCGGGCTGCTATGACTCCAGCGTTACCATATGTCTGCTGTCATACAAAGGCATAGGTCACGCGGACATCAACAAGGCGCTTGCACATGTTTCCCCCGGCTAATGTAAGCGTATGGCACCGAGAGCTAAAAATATACTGTTGTTCGAAGACTGTTTAAGATGAGGCTTTGGTAGTTTGTTTATTAACACTACAGGTGTTGGAATGAGATGGATGGGTACAGAGAAAAGCTAGAGGTGACCACAGATTATCTCAATCATGCAGCTGTCCTGTGGCGACTTCTGTTTTATCAAGGGCACAAGGACAGAGGAAAGAAGATATTTTGTTTGTTTGGTTATTATTGATTGGTGGTTATTATTGCAAATGTATCGGCTTGAGAGCAGGACACATAGCACTTCTAACTTTTATTAAAGATATCTATGATAGAGATTGACCAATGTGGATTCATTTGATGATGGCTTTCAGGCATTCTGTTCTGCCGGTTTATCTGGCAATGTTGTTCCCATAAACTATCATGCATGTCATATAAACATTCAGTGAAAAACACTTGGCCAATTATACAGAAGAAACTTTTATTTATAACTTTGCAGCAGCATGTTAAATACATAATTCACAATGAGAGTTATCATGTCTATATTGCCATACCTAAAGTTTGCCAAAATGTGTTAGGGTTAGGGTCAGTGGATTGCTTCCTAAAATTGCACAAAACATCGGTGATATGAGACTGAAAAGACTTCGAAGACGGACTATTTCTCAGTTACAGTAGTGTTAGTCTTAATTGTCAATATAAAATGGTCCATTGGTAAATTGAACAACATGGACGTCTAGCACACACTTGAATGCTTTCGTGGATCTCCTGGGGCACACATTTTGATTATTCAATGGAAAGTATTCATAAACATGTGAATGTATGCAAATCTAATTGTATTATGGTAATATTGTGACTCACCGAAGAGAAGAAAAACAATGCCACTTTATTTAAGGATTCTTGCTTAATTCTTCTACAGGAAGGCACTTGGCACTTCATGTGGTGGAGCATCACATCTCTGTCCCAGCAGAAAGATCGTTTTATTTCTTTCATCTTTTTCCACGTCAGACATAGCAGAATGGAAGACAGCTGACAGCACAAATAAGAAATTCTCTATGTCAGTGTTTCAATATTTTCTATTCCATCTCATGAGCACTGGCTCTTTCCAAAGTGTCACAACTGAGTAGAAATGTTGACACAAATACCAAATTGTCTGCTATGCCCTGGAGGGTACCACAGACTAAAGAAATGCACGGGCTGCTTTTTATCATGAAGACACGCCATATTAAATGACTTTAGAGATCAAGGTCATAGATTTGATTGGATTATAGTTACTGTACGTATACGTAGAACATTTTAGGGTAATGGTTACAAGTAGAATCAAATCCTTCATAAATCCTTTTAACTTAAACTCAAATATAGTACTTCTGAAGTCATTTAAGATGGCTGCCTGCTATAGGATTATGAAATTGTATGTGAGGGTTAGGGTTCGTGACACAAAGTGATTACAATTTTGAATTACATTTTAAAATGCCGTTTTTTTGACTGGCCTTGTCTCCCCAATCTAGTGGAGAGGAAAATCAGGAAACCCATCTGTAGTGTGCATTCACTGCGGACAATCCAGCCTAGTTAATGGAGGCCAGGTCTGTTTGGAAATGAATGCATGCTGAATCAAACACCATTTTCTAGTCCAAAAACAAAGCTTCAATTTGGATGATTGAAATGCCTCCTGGATACGCGTTTGTCATTGCACAATAAGACACCCTATCATTTCGCTCTCAAGAAACTGCAAGTGTTGTAAACGACTCAGGACTCAGCTGGGAACAGTCTTCACAGCTGGCTCCTTGACATCACACATATAGTGACAAGAAAGGAGGAGGAGTGACATTTCTCCCTCGCTTTCATAGGACTGAGTCGCATGTACACTAACTTATGAAACCACAAAGCCTGTTATTTGTGTTATCCACTTCTGCGTATCTGTAAGATTCACTATATTTGAGTGGGTCTATAACAAACGCAGAGGCTGAGCACAGAAGTCGGTAGATTGTTGGCGAGGAATGGCACGAGCCACATCCATCCCCCTCACGTTACGTCTCTGGCATGACAGAAAACATGTAATTGTGAGACAGATGGCAGTTTATACCAACCCTCATTAAAGTGGTTGATGAGGCACATATGAGACCCATCTTCTGTTTCATGATGCACCCCCTGTGAAATTAACTCCCAAAACAGAGATATTCAAGAAGAAATACTGCATGGTTAACCTTCAGCCTTATACCAAAGAGTCAAGCAAGATTGCACAACACTGTCCATGATTGGAATTTTGGTTTAGATTAAAACGATTTGTGATTGCATCGTGCATATTCAACATGCACCACATTTTGAATATTTAGAAATTATTGTGTAGTTTAATCCATCCACCCACCACCATCTTTGCCCCTATTTCCCCTTGCTTTTTTGTTTACTAATATGCATGTGTCTAAAGTAGAGCACTGAAACGGACATGGGAGCATGTACCAAGCCATGTTTTTCAATGCTTTTATTCTTAATTTTTTCAAATGTTTTATGATAATATTCTTATTGATGTTTTGGTCTTGTTGTCACTTGTTATCATGATACACAATATTTATTATGTTCATATTTTTCTGACAAGAGGAATTGAGAAACTGTCCTCTTTCAATAAAGACATGCTTTCTCATTTATTTATTCCTTACCCAGATTCAGCTATATACAGTACAGAATAGTACATTATTATGGCGAGGTAGTATGTCATTTTGATGTTCAATCTGAAGATGTCATAGGTGTTGTAGTGGAGCAACATAAAACTTGACCGTTCCTCCCTTGTGCCTCTCTGGGGATTGTGGAATATAACCCAGGCCCAGCTCTTTGTGGCACATCACATCTAAGTGCGGATTCCCCTGAGTTTCTCTCTGTCAGTCCCTGCATTTTCTCGTCTCTGGGCTGCACTGAGCGTCCATTTGTCAGAGCGAGGCTGCCAGCGAGAACGCAGAAGGCTGCACCAGATTTGTGCGAGAACGGGACAGAAGTGAAGTTGTGCTCTGGTTGTTAGTGCTACCAGATGGGTGAGGGAGCAGCGATATGGGTGAGGAGAGGATGCAGAGTGACAAGCAAACTTTTCATTCTCTACAGTATGTTTTATAGATGCTGCTGAGACATACTTTGGTAATATTAGTATTAACAACATACAGTAATTACTGTTTAACTACATTTAATGCCAATTGCAAGCTTTTAAAACAATGCATTTATTTTATTGGTTTTATATGGCTGTTTGAACCCAAGAAACATCATCTTATATATTATTATATTATCTATAGTGGTCTTTGTTCTCTGTACTGTGAGTGGCAGCAGTGACAGTTATATTTCTAAATCAAATTTAAAAGCATTAGAAATAAATGGTCTAAAATGAAACCTGAAATCTGAACTTTGGGAACAAACTTGCCAAGAACGTAGTCTTCCTCCCTTTTTACCAAAATGCCAGCAGCTAAAAGTAAGCTATGTGGTGTCTCCTAAGCTCCACAAGGACGTGGTTGTATGAATAATTAGAGCCTTCTAAAGCTGTCTGCTTATTGCTGTTTGACAAGAGGACAGGGCCAGACTGAAATGGGTTTACTTAAAACCCACAGGAAATCTATTAAAAGCTTTACATAAGGGATATTTACACATTGCCTTCTGCTGCACCGCTTTAACCCTGTCTTTCATCTTACTGCCACTTTCAACTTTGTTGTTTAAAAATCACTCTTTTCTTTGACATTTATTGGCAAACAAATGCAATTTAAAGGCTCTAGTGTTTTAGACTGACAAGTTTGTCCAACAATAGAGCTCATGTTTTAAAACATAAGATTTTCTGAGAAAAATCCATTTCCATCCCAAACATTTACCACGCTGGTAAAATCTGACTGCACTGTATTTTCAGTGTATTGGCAGTACACTGACCAAACGGCATCAATTTTGTCTGTGTACAATGTGTATATGGAGAGTACACCCCAAACTGGACCAGCCTCTCCTTCTGTCCTTGCCGTGTCTTTAGATTTACCAGTGTAATTCAGACAAATGTCACAGTTTAGAGGAGGAACGAACACTGACAAACTTTGGTGCATGTTTTCTTCTGGTGCACTCGGCATCTCCTCTGATTCAGGATAGCCAAACCGTCCAAGTGTACCGCAGCATCAATTTTCCTTGCTCTGAGGCAAAATGTCATGAATACAACCACAAAATGACTGTAGTTGTGGATGTTCTACCTTTTAAAGTGGGCATTCTAGCCTTCATTACACATGAATGACGACATTTGGTGTGTTGCAGCAAGAGTAATTTAACAGGCTCTCTAAATCATGTTGTATGTGTGTTTTGCAGTATAAAGGCCAGGCCAATCTGCACGTCTTTGAAGACTGGTGTGGCTCATCGGTGGCACAACTACGAAAGAATTTGCACTTTCCACTTTACCCCCATGTAAGTATTGCCTGGCCAAATCAAGATTTTAAAAAGCTCAAGAACGATGAAATATGAACACAATGATAGGGAGGGTGGTTAGGCTAAATGAATGGGGATCTTAATGCAATATTTACCTATGTAATAAAATACCTGTAGTTTCTCACTCTCAAAACAGTTGGTTTCTATCACTAGTTTTCACATTCTTGGGCCACATCTTTAGATCATTTTTTATCAAACAGAAAAGTGATAAAGAGAGGGCCTCAGTAATAGAAGGAAGACAGTTTGTTGTGGTCTGATTTCCTTCTGATGCGACAAACAATCTATTATTTATGACAAAAGTGAGACATTCCAGCGTTAATAGACATATCTGGGTCAATTTGATTACATTTTCTGATGTAATATGTTCACTTTTACAGACCAGGACCACACTGAAGAAACTGGCAGTCGCACCAAAATGGAAGAACTATGGCCTGAGAATATTTGGCTTCCTTCACCCTTATCGAGACGGTAAGTAAGCTCATCTTATTAGTGGTTCACTCCTGGGGCTGGCAGCAAATGTCCTTTCTCGGTGAAGGCAATTTCCCAATTCTCTCCTAATGAAAGCACTTGAGACCAGCTAATAATAGAACATTTTCTCTTTTTATTATAAGTAAATGCCAGAGTTCTCAAGCTAAATTTCAGAGCCATACCCCATGACCTTCACATGGGCCCATTAACTGCGTGTCAAAGGTTATTCTATATCCAGGATTTAGTCGTGACCAACACAAGTCCTTCACACCTTTCCTCCTGACACAACCTTTTCCAACATACCTGGTCACATAATCACATCCTGTTCAGAGACTATCATCATCACTACTTCAAGGCTATTTTTTATCCTCCCTTTTTTATGAATGAATGTGGAACTCAATAAACAAAAAAACAAAAGGTTATTTGGACAGTTGACTAACTTTAAAATCTCTTCTCCTGCTCCTGTAGAAATGGTAATGGCCTTTTACTTTAAATCTATGGATTGTTCAAACCACACAAAATATTAACTTAATACATCTTTAGTAAATAAATAAAAAAGAGTTTTTCCACTATTCACATGCATGTATTTGTGGCCTCTGTCCGTCACATCCTCAGATCGGCTTTTCTAGACCAAAAAGGAGGGAGGACCACACTCCTTCAGCCCAAAGTGTCAAATTGTGACTCACAGGGCTCTTTTTTACCAGTATGCAAAAAATAACATGTTGCCAAAACGTTACTTAGTCTGTAATCAGTGATGATATATTACATCTACAACTCATTATTATATATTTAATAGAAAAAAAGCACAATATTTAGCTAAAACTACGACTACACAAAAAAATCAGATATTCAGAGAAGAAAATCGACAAAAACAAAGACAGTTAGAATGGCTTGGTGGCCCGTGGTCAAGTTTCTAGCAAAAAATATAGATGACTCAAATATGCATGAATTACGTTAAAACAGTGTGTAAATGACAAGGGCACAACAATATTATCAAAATCAACAACTATAACATGGTCAACAGCGGCAGAATGCATGATGTCTCCTTTATACTTGTATTAGTTCTGCTCTCACTAATTGTTTTTTCCATATGTATTTGTAATGCTTTGTTACCATGTGTGTCTTGTCTCAGGTGACTTTCAGTTCTCTGTATCCTCCGACGACAACTCCGAGTTCTGGCTTAGCTCAGATGAGAGTCCACTTAATGCTCGTCTGCTTGTCTTTGTGGGACAGGTAAGGCCTTTCCATTATTGCTTTTCATATTGCAAAAACCACAGCGTGATAGAAAAGTTAAAAAACAAAACAAACAAAAAAGAGCTCAGTATTTTTGATTCACTTTTTAATTTTTTCCTTCCAATGTGATGACTACCTCGTGGTGAGCAATCTCATATAGTTGTGTAAATATGGCTGTTAATGGGATTGCAAAGGTCAGACGCTTTTGTCATTTTCTGTTGAGCAGACGGGCACACAGAAATGCTCAGTCGTGACCGCTTCAAAATGTAAGCCCTCTATTATGCCACTGCTCAACTAGCAGGAGGGACACTGAGTGATTTGACCTTGTTCCAGGTTACTAATCTAGGGCTGGCCTCGTCTAACCTGGCAAAAGCCAGATTGATGATTGTGTAGAACTCTAACGCGTTCTCCGCGATATCAATCTGGGATTTCTCCCGGAGAATCCTTTCGGGGAAAGGAGGGGTAAGCAGCAGAATACTTGAAGCTGATTGGGCGAAGTGACGCTGTGTGCCCGCCTACCAAGGTTGCCGTCCAGAAATGTACAAAGCGCCTCTCGCTGTTCATCTTTCAAAAAAGAAATTGGAGATTCTGCTAAAACTGACTTTGCGTCCGTCCTCCTGCGTAGCCATGTTTGTTTTGCTTCGGCCCGGCACTCTTGCTTTCGTCAAACCCGGATATCCCGCCCTAAACCCCCAGACTGGCGCGTGATTGGCTCGCACACCCAGTGGTTCGACTCGAAAAGTGTAAGCGGGAGCGGTACAAGATGTATTCTCGAGTGTTTGTGAACTCACAAATACCGCGAGAATTCAGCTTGCAGGCAAGGTTAGGCCTCGTCATGCCTTCACAACAACTGGACTATCACTCATCACAACACAGTGGACAGTGCGATGATGCGACAATGTGGAAATGAATGGGGTTTTTTCTGTTATGTACTGTTATATAAATGTGCCAGAAATAATATCTTTGGTGTGAAATCAGGGTGGCTCTTTTAGTGGTTGATGATAAGGGGCGGCAGTAGCTCAGTTGGTAGAGCGTTGGCCTTTGAGCCAGAAGGTCGTGGGTTCACGCCCCGCTCAAGACTTTCACCATCGACTCCCACTGACTACTGTCGTTGTGTCCTTGGCAAGACACTTAACCTCTGGGAACACCAGCCACAGTGGGGCGGCTGCGGCTGTAAAGTGCCAAACTGCCGTTGTGTCCTTAGGCAAGACACTTCATCCCCATTGCCTAGAATGAGTCTGGTGTGTGTATGAATGGTTGGTGGTGGTCGGAGGGGCCGATGGCACATACTGGTTGCCTCGCTTCTGTCAGTGTGCCCCAGGGCAGCTGTGGCTACATTAGTAGTTTATCACCACCGTGTATGGAGTGAATGAATAATGACACATGTGAAGCGTCTTTGAGTGTCCAAAAAAGCGCTATATAAAACCGATGCATTATTATTATTATTATTATAAGAACCACCACTTTGAGTAGGTATTCAGAAAGCCTTCATTCAGAGTGATGCCATTTTTATGCATGGCTTAAGTGTGCGCTTTGCCCAGTTTAAATGTATTGTGTGTTTACCCTGATGACATAAATGGATATCTTCTACTCAAATGTCATGTTGAATTTGCTCAGTATGTGGGCTTGTACGTGGGCAGAGGTCTATCTGTATTCCAGCTCTTTGTGAGGTGTCACCTTGTTCCGAAGGGAGCTGAGATTAATTAGCGGGCAGAGGATATTGATGTGACATTTAACAGCAGAGAAATATCATCTAGGTAATGGCATGGGAGCGCTGATGTGACCAGGGATCATTTATCCTGTCCTGGCTGACAGACCGGTGTGGGGCTGCCAGGGTGACGAGGAGACAATGCGCTTAGCACTAGAACTGCTGCTTCAGACGTCTTTCCACTTTACTTCACTTATTTGCGACAGCACATGAGAATGCAAAATGTGTCATTTTGATTTGTAGTCACATTTTGCCTGTCTCAAGATTATATCAAGAATAGTTTGTCTGATTCTGCCTGTTTTACAGCAGGCTCCTGTTCTGCCATATAGGACAGACAGAAAAATTCAAATCAAGAGCAGACAACTGCAAAACACTACAATACCCACGCTCCATACCCGTAACAGGCAGAGACTAAGTTTAGCCTTCAGTCAAGAAAAGTCTGTGTGCCTTTGCACTAGAGCCTGGTGCAGAGCTGCTCCTGCATGATCTAGCATTTAGACATATGTTCACTAATAGTCTGAAGTCAGGAGATAGTGCAGAAGAACAGTGTGCACAAAGACAGCCTCATTTAGACCAAAAAATTACTTCAGTTTTACTCCCGGATTTTCTCTTTACAGCTTGCATGTGAGTCCAAGAGCACCCCTAAAGTCGCCTCCATTTAACTTACACAAACATCAAATAAAGATACACCATCTCAATATGTGACCTCTTGGCTGATGTTAAGCAGTTCGAATTCTGCTCCTGACACAAACTTCATTGGTCGAGCGATCAGAAACACACATGCAGGTGTAAAACTAGCTCCAATTGATGACTGCTGCATGTGTCCTTAAGCACGACTCTTAACCTACCTCGCCCCAGTGTCTGTGTACAGTGGTGTATGAATGTGTGAAGGATTACTTGATGTAAAGTACTTGCCTTTTGAAAGGTAGAAAAGCGATATGCAAATGTGACCATTTACTATCTCTGCGTACAGCACAGTGCGGCTGTTAGCATTCATGGTTATTTATGTAAGCTGTTGCACCACTAAGAGCCATGTTTTCTTTTCTTGTTGCACTGAATCCCTCCACATTTTCAAAATCCAATGTAGCACAATTGGCAGTGTCACAAAGAAATGAGAATAATACTTGTACTGAAGTTCAATTCTAAATGGTTGTAATACTTTTGACCAATGTTACCTACAGCCTGTTGCATTATATATATATAAAAAGTGAATTTACTCATTCTTCATTCTTGTGCATAACATTGTCCTTCGGTTTGTGTTTACTATTCTGTTGCTGACACCTGATCTTTAACTAAGGTCTGTCTAGAGCAGTAAATGGAGGGCTGGTTAATAATAAAATCCTGCTGGGACATTCCCCTTATGCATTCGGCAGTGCTTAAAGTCAGAAGAATCTCCATTGTCCTCCTGAGGCATTAATCATATTTCTGGCCCAGAGCTAATCTGTAATGAGATTTTTCTTCAATCAGAATCTCCAGACAGTCACTGCACGGGCTGAGCCAGACCTGGGAATGTCCAGCTGTGTGGTGTGACTTGTGTGTGCATGATCATATATTTGGTGGTGACACATGTGGCATTGATACATGTGCATTAATGGTTGTTTTATATTGTTCAAAAAGCTGCAAGATGCCAGAAAATGTAGGTCAAAAGCGCATAGTCAATAATGAAACGTGACAAGTACACAGGGTGCGATACCTTCACATTGTGTCGCTGCCCTTTTGCTAATGTTGTTCGTCACTAGAACACCAATACGCACAAACGCGTTTTGTAAACAGAATTATAGAAGGACCACATTATTTACAAAGCCCATTCTCTACACATCTTTGTCTGTTGAACTGTGAACATTAACAGGCACAAACTGTGAGGAAAATGGTTTGCCACCAAGACGCCCAAACATTTACCACGCTGCTTGAGGCCGCTCTACTGCAGCGTGCCTACTTTGATTTCTGTCCCCGTCCTGTTATTGGAGCAGAAGAACATTTGATTCTCACTATCCCAACAGCTGTGTTAGCCCGAACGCTAACGTCACTTTGACAGAAATGAAAATAGACATGAGGACTGGGTGATGGATTACAGACTTTCCCACTCTAAAGAAACTGCAGCTTCACTTTGAGTTTGAATAGATGAGAATACTAACTTGAGTGAATGGGTGTTAATAAGCAAGTAGGAATCGCAGTGTTCTGAAGTCATAAGCATTCAAAAGTTTCACAGCGAAGGAAGCAGCTTTACTTCTAAACTCATCTGCTGCCAGCAGCCTGATAAATCATTCACCTGAGCGCCATAAACAAAACCAAGACAGTTGGTTAAAGCATTGCTGACATCTGCCTTTGCTGGTGTAATCAGAGCGATTATGGTTCCCTCTCCAGTTTATTACAGCTATAAACAATGTTTCTATTTTCTACTGTGTCAGGAGTATTGTGTATTGTTTTTGTCTCAGGAGATCATTGTAACTGCCAAACTGGACCCATGCTCATCTGACCGCTACCAAATCAACTCAAAGTTTATTTTCATTCAGGGCTTTTCATACATGGCATGTAACTCGGGCTGGGTGATCTGGGGAAATAATTAATCAAATGTTTTACCGATCTTCATTTTTGATGGGAAATAACAAAATAACTGGTAGGAACACAAAGTTTAAGATGAGTGCGTTTAAATCCTCTCTAGCCACCTGCGCTGGTACTGCCACATGACTGGTGTCTTTGGATTTTATTTTTGTTATTTTGGCACCTTTTTTTCTGGCAATTATTCTCTGAATCTATAAATCTTACTTCTCTTTCATTGATATATTGTAGCTACTATGATATAGTAGATAGTAAACATAAGTAGCATTGTACCTTTTTAGGAGTAGGGGTATGTACAGCCTGTTCTAGTTTGTATCTGTGTGTTTCCATCAGTCTCCTATAGCTCAAACTTTCTTGTGTCACATGTCTGTAGCTGCTGTCTCATGTTTGCTTTGTTTTGGTCTGTTTGTGACCTATATTGCATCCACTTCTCTAAATGCTTTTTATATCCTTTCTAAAATACTATTTATGTGGAATAAAGTGCCTTTTTGTAGACTAAATGAGATGATAAAAATGCAAGCGTCAAACATGCTTCACAAGCGTCACCCGCGTCCGTTATCTATGTGTTTGACACATAGCCGCTTGGAGGGTGAATGAATAGAATCCATCCTTGCGTATAGGGCATGTTTTCCATTGAAATATGCAGAGAGCGATTTAATGCTGTATTTGAGCAGTTAGCACCACTACAAGATGTTCCTGAGGCAGGTATGTCATGTGTGGTGTGACCCAGGCTCTGAAACATTGTTAATTCGATTTACCTTGTAAAACCTTCCTGATGTTGCCGGTGAGGCAGGGCTGTAACTCTGCACGAAGGCCACAAACATTTACATTTCTGACAAAGAAAGGTAAAGGTAACGCTACAGATAACTTGACTAAATCTCATTGAGAAATCAATCAATTACTCACTCTTGCTGGCTTTCTAAAGTATCCGCCTGTTGTGAGGAGACTTGAGCAATGACTCAGAGTTCTGTGGAAGTCATCCATATCTGCTGGTGTCTCTGTATGTAACCGTCATATTCTATTCTGTATTACTACACACTCAGAGTTGCCGTCTGTCGCTACGGCAGCTGTTCTGTCCTTTGTTCACAGGTTCTTGATTAATTATGTTGGAAGGCACAACATGGCAGTCTTTTCTTTCGTCAAACATTAATGTCTTAGAGCTTATTTTTAATGATCTATGAAACCTGTTTATGTTCCTTTGAATTTGTGTTATTCTCCAAAAATGTTTACAGTTAGTGGCCTTCCGCATATGAAAGCCTGATGCTGTCAGATCTCAGAAGCTAAGGGCAGGGCCTGGTTAGTACTTTCATGAAAGACCTCATGGAATCCCAGGTGCCTCAGGGTAGTTGTGAATGTAACTCTTGTTGTGCCCTAAGGCAAAGCACGTCACCCACATTGCCTGGTATGAGTCTTGTGTGTGCGTGCATATATGAATGATTGGTGGTGATGGCTCTGGTAGCCTCGCTGCAACCCACCTGTCTGCCCCAGGGCAGCTGTGGTAAGTTTAACTACTGTGTACAGAGTGAATGAATACAGACATGTTTGAGTGTGGACACTGGACAGACAAAATAATGCACTAACAATACATAAAGGCCCCCAAGGCAATAAATGATTTGAAGAAATGCTGTGAATTATGTTTAGCATGTCTGTATCATTTCTAACTCCTCCCTAGACTCTAATGGAGGTAATATTGCTATACTGTAAATGCCAACGATTGAACAGTTTTAGACTTGGACCTTGATCGTTCGTTGATCAAAGCAGCTTGAGACAGATAGTCCTTAAGTGAAATGGTTTCAACTGCTTTTATTGTCACTTTACCAGAGTTTGTGGTTCCTATATTCTGTTGTGTCTTGTCACTTTGATCTATGAGCTTTGATAATAAAAGTGTGCAGTATTTTAGTGGACAGACTAAACATCAATGTGTTCTGACTTAAAAAGTACATCATTGTGTTAGAAGACAACAAGATAGAAGGCAGAAAACCAAATAATGAAATAGTAGTCATCTGTTCAAGTGTGGCTTTTTCCCCCAAAGTAAAGTATATAGCGTCAAAGCAGAACATGTGAAAAATTACTGCTATGTGTAAAAATGCGCGTTATCTTTTGTCCGACCTTGGGAGTTGATGAAAGGGTAAAACCTCACTGATTTTGTCAATCTGTGAGAACTAGGCTTATCTGATCCCAAAAACACCACATCCTCTTTGCACACACCGTTTGATCTTTACCTCATACGAAAATGCAACACTAACAAAAGCATACTTGTGTTGGGAACCACTTTGAATGGCATTAGGATGTTTGTGTTTGCATGTTTTGAAGAAGCAAATGTTAATTCAAGCAGTGGAAATGTACTGTGTGAGGTGCAGGCACAGTGCAACGCTTTGTGCTCACAGCTGCCTCTGATGCTGCCTGGGGTCTGCTTGCTTTGGGATTTCTTCCCTTAGTGACTTGGTGCCAAAACACATTCACGCTTGTTCCATCAGTGTAGCATGGTTACTGAACTGACTTTTGGGCGAAAATAGTAAGCATGTTTTTGTGGTTGTGAAGCTAATAGTATCCTTTGAGTATGTTTCAACTTTCCTTTTTGTGTTTATTTTAAAGGTACACTGTGTAGTTTTTACTCCCATCTAGCGTTGAGATCATAAATAGTAATTTACAGTGATAGTGGTCCCCAACTCCCGGTCAATCTCCTTTTTGTCCGTTATCAACCACTGTGTTCAAGATGGTGCATTGACATTTAGAGTCCTCCAGCTCTCATGGACATTTATCAGTCAAGTTCTAAGACTATGACAACAATTCAAAAACATGGTGGAGGTAAATATTATTAAAAAAATATGTGGAGTAATTGTAAAAATTACACCTTTAAGCTTGATTGAAGATGACACAATTTGCTTCACCAGAAACAAAAAAACATATCAAGTAATATAAAGTATAATTGTCTGATTAGGTTAGAACCTTCTGTGTGTTTTTGTACTCAATAATACAATCAAAGCAGTTATTATTTTTCACTTCATATGGTGTCCCAGTCTATGTGTGTCAAAATCTTCAATACTCCGTGTGAGAATCAGTGATATTTACAAGCAGGAAGAGCTGTTGTGTCTTGCCACCGGGCTCCGCTGTGTTCCCGACCGATTTTAAGCCCTCAAGTGTGGCCAGCATAAACAATTGCGGGGCAGGCCCACTGTGATCCTCACGCCATTCTCTCACTGTGCTCGCCAAAGCAGCAGGGGCCCTAATTAGTCCTGCTGGCATGCTGTGCAAATGAATGAGCACAGATTTGACCACAGGCCTGGAGCACCAACCTCAGGGGTCTCCATAAATCGCCTTCTAAGACCCCAATTTGGCAGAGAATTTGTCTTTCTCATTTATTTCAGCTTGTAGCCTTTAGTCTGTTTGCCCTATCAGAACAAGGTTTTTTTCTCTTTGGTTTTGCTTCAAGCTTTGTCGCACTATCGTTTCAAGTTAATCACTATGAGATTTGATAAACTTATCGAGGATATTTGCAATAGAATAATGTGCTACATTTGTGTGTTGCAGCTGGGAACGGAGTGGACGGCTCCAGGCGAGTTCAACAAGTTCAGATCCCAGTCCTCCAAATCTGTACAGTAAGTCCTACAATAATATTAATAATTGGATTATTGTTAAGATAAAAGACATTTTATAAAAAGGTTTATTTTCCTCAGACCAGAGTTCAAAATATGCATGCAGTCTTCCTCAGAGTGAACGTGTCATTCTCCTGTGCTGGGATGTTAGGTTAAATTGCTTCATTATGGGACAGAGGAAAGCAAGTTTAGTCGCTGGATCAAAGAAGCCATTGAAATACTTAAACATACCCCATGGGCAAGGGGGCTTTTTTACACACACACACCTGGTATACTGTTATGAGGAAGTCGGATCTGTGGAGATCAGCTGAAAAGTTACAGCACAGGAACATCTCATGGTCTCTCTTAGGAAGAAAAAATGACTTACCTTCACTGGAAATATAATGCATTGTTATAGTATGTATTGCATTTTGTTCAGTAAATTGTGATTTGAAACATAAGTTATAAGCAAATAACATGCAGCCTATTTTTCACTTGGGTCACTTGAATTCTCTATGTTTCTTGCTGTCCTGTAAGCATATAGTTGTAGTCATGTAACAAATCTGATAATTGATCTTGTCTGCTTAAACCTCGAGCTATCTTATTTCAAAGTAGCGACGAGGAAGTAGAAATCACACATTCAACCCCGCCATCCACAACCATCAATGTGCTAATGCTTCTCTCGATTGTCATTCTAAAGACAATCGGAAACAGTTGCAGTGTGCTCAGACATGGCATCCTTCTTCCATCACAGGTCTCAGACTGCAGTTATTTATACGTCTCGGTTCATTGGAGCTGTGTGACCCACTACAGAGAACAGTGACTAATGGCCGCTGCAGGCTTGAATCATATTGTCAGACGATGAAACATATCGCTGTTGAGAGGTTCACTTAAAGCTCTTCAGTCATCAGAGGGGGCTGTACGATGCAGACAAAGGTTAAGGCGAAAAAAGAGTCCATACCCTGGTCTCTTTGCTGGATTCTATTTACTCTTTAGAGACTGGTGCACTTCACTTAACACTCCCTATGCGTTTCTCCGCGTCACAGATGATTGCTTTTTGAGATGTACTAAACTCATCCACAGCAAATGGTCCCATATTTTTCCCATCAGCTTCTCATTCTATGTTTCATTGACTTTGCCTCCTGTTTATAGCTGTCTACCTATAGAGCTCGCAGTGTTGAATCACCGTTACATTGGTTAAAGTGAATATGATGCTGTTAAAAGAAATTGGCAAGGAAACAGGAGGTGTATTGGAAACTATTTCTTTGAAGTGAGTGGCAACGGAAGTGTATGTATGGTTGTTTTTTTTACCACAGCGTGATCCATAACAGTGGATAAACTGTGGCAAATTGAATTGTGGGATGGTTGAACACACTTTCTCGGCGATGTCTGGGTGTCGTCCATGCCACCTGGATGGAACCACCTGGATCTAATGACTCGTGCTGTTTATGTGTCTAAGTGACTCTGAAGTCATCAAAAACTTTGGATTTCAACTCCATGGGCACCACTCTTTCTTTCCTTTAAGTTATTTCCCTGAAAAATAAAAATCCTCCAATGTCATCATTCTTTGTTTCTTTCTTGAGGATCAGTTTGAGAATCAGATCCATACCTTGTCAGTCATATTTAAACTCATATGATGACATATGCTGCAAAGACTGAACAACCCAAATTGGAAACTTGCACTGGCAAAACAACAAATTTGTGGCCTGAAGGAAAACTATTTTTAGTCAAACCTGCACTAAATGTATCTTGTTTTTCTAATATCATGTTGACGTTCCGTTTTTTAAATGTTTGACCTGCTAGTTCTTATTGACAGAAGTGAGGTTTCTGAGGCTAAACATTTCAACGTTTCTCTGATCAAAGTCTGTTGGCAGTTGCGTTTGTACTTAAACATGCATTTTCTAGACAGAAAGATCAGTCAAATATAATACATCAGGGAAATGTGTAAAAATATATGTTCCCTTTTCCTGATAGTCCACAAAGTCATTTTAGGAGTCAGAATTTGAGGAAGTATACTCACAAACACATTTTTGCTTATCGCTTTATGCAGCTGTCTAAGTTTAGCACCTGTTAAGCTCACATGTGTGAATTGATTGCCGGTGCTGGTGGCTTGGTGCTGTCACAACATCCACTTGAGTGACAGTGACGCATTGAGATAAAATCCTCGATAACCGTGTCAACTTTATCTTCTCTGGGTGATACCTTGAGTGGAGCCTCAGAATGGATTGACACGAGGCTTAGACATGTGCTAAAAGTCTGATCTCCTGACTATTTAGCAATTCTGACACTATCTTTGGCATTTGGTATTGCTTTTGTCAAGCTCAGATTAGCTTGTGGCAGACATGATGTTGAGGAATTTAGTTAAAACTATTTGCTTCACAGTAAAAGCAGGTTAGGAACCACCTGCCGTTTATGTGTCACAAACATTGATTTTGAACTTGATGAAATTGATCTGTTCATTTTAAGTGAACTTATTCTGACCTGCTGCCCCAGGGACACAGAGGGATGGGTCAAAATGCTTTTTATATTAGATAAAATGCACCTGATTTTTTTTTTATAGAGGAGGGTCAGGAGAAAGGGTACTGGGCCCAAACCTTGTGTCAGCATCACACATGGTTTGGGACCAGTACCCTTTCCCCTGACCCTCCTCTGTCAGTGCTGGCATTTAAAGGACCAGATTGCACTTTGCAAATAGCTGGAATTGATATTTCAGCCCAATCCTCCAAGACACATGGACGATAATTTGCTTATTCACATGCTTTTACGGGGCAGCAGCTCCCTCTGCCCCCCATCGAGTTGCGAGTGGGGCATGCGTCAAATCAAGAATATCTTTACAGTCAAGCGTTAAGAGAAAGTTAAGTTGGACTCCCCTTGGAACAACAAAACAACCTAATTTACTATATCTCAGTATCTAAAATTGAATCACCTAAGCACTGCTGCATATTAGCTGCTGTGGTGGCTCAAGAGTTGAAAGTAGGACTTAATATGACATCATCAGAATACTAAATGAAAAGCGGATTCAGCAGGCTGTCACATCACACAGTGTCTGACTCATGATGTATGTGATAAATGTTTGTATGCATTTGTATATGTATTTTATCCATCTCTCTGAATATAGCACAGTTTCTATTGTGCATTTTAAGGTTGAATGTTGAGTTAAAGAAAAAAATACCATTCCAATAGGAGGCTTTCTTGTGGTCCACAGGTGGTCTAGTTTCTGAGTAGTTGGAAGTTGGAAGCTCACCCGGCTTTTTTAGCTATCAATTCCCAAAATCAGACGACAAATCAGCCTGTACTTAAATATTGGCTGAGTATAGTAAGTAAGTAAGTAAGTTTTTATTTATATACCGCCTTTTCACTGCAGATCTGAGTCTCAAAGCGGTTTACAATTGTTAATTTTTGGGCATTTGTCTCTCACTCCACACAGAGATGGGAGCGGGGTCGCCAGTACAGGAAGCGCATGCCAGAACTATTGGACATATTTTTTGTGGTAGGGGAAACCGGAGTACCCGGAGGAAACCTACGCAGACACGGGGAGAACATACAAAATCCATTCAGAAAGGCCCTGGTCCGACCGGGATTCGAACCCAGGACCTTCTTGCTGAGAGGCGAGAGTGCTATCCACTCAGCCACTGAGATTACACTAAATACATAACGTTATACAATATTTTTCATAGCCTTCTTTAATAGAACCCACTCTAAGTCCACTGGATCGTAATAAAGCTAAAAATCCTGCGCTGGCTCCTCTGCCCCCACGCCATCTGTTTGTGTGACTGACGCTGGCCTGCGGAGACACTAATGCGTGGCTCCTACATTACAGTATGTGTTGTGGCACATGTTTAATAGGAGTGTCTTTGAGGTAACACACAAAATTTGGAACATTTGATTGACAGGAAAGCACTAGTACAAGTAAACTGTGACACGACCCGCCTTCTCGGCAAAATGCAGACAGCGGGTCGGCCACTTTGTAGAATGAGTGAAATTACATGCTGCAGCCGGCGTACCCATATATTATGCATTTGACAGGTTACAGGCTGTGATGTATTAAATATCAGCTGATTAATAATATGTAGATGCCGCATAGAGAGTTTGGGTGGGTCTGGTATGAGCCATATTAGTTCCACTCTATGGCTTACATGGCACTCCCCTTTGATTCTTACTGATTTCTAATGAATTGTATGTGATGAAAACATGATATATATTGGGTCTGTACTAAAGGTTTTGTATAAGTTATATTACATAAGGAGCCAAACAAATAATAATTATGATTTCAGCTGCAAAATGGCTTTGATCCAGTATGTAGATAAGAGGTGCAAACATGCTAGTTCTTCTGCTAGAGCTTCCATCATAATATCACTGACTGAGCCATGTGTAGAAGGGTTTAAAAGGTCTACAAGTAAAAAACTAAACATTTTGGCTGGGAGTCATTTATTTTCAAATGTTTATAGGCCTGACAAAGAAGCAGCTGATTTTCAAACACTTGTGACATCTGTGAGGCTGACAAATGATGAGAGCATTAGAATGTGTGAGCGTATGATGGGTTTAGAATAATTGAATGACGTAATCTCAGTATCTGTTTTGATATTATTATTATATATGGATTTTTTCTAAATACATTTACATCTGTATTAATAGATTTTACAACAATCTGCTCAAGGACAAGTGTACATTTCTTTCAAATGACTAATGTTGACTAATTTTGTTGTGCTTTATCCCTGTGCACTGACCCCATTCTGTACATTTTGCATAAAAAGGTATTTGCACCTGAGAAAAATTGTAAATCATGCCTTGTATTGAGCTTGTTTGGATCAGTGTACGGTCTACAAACTGTGTTCGGATCGCTTAAAGAGAAGTGGAAGTCACAGCACACCAAAACAATAACCAGCTTTTATTACAGAGTAAAATATATATATAATAAAAGGGAATCATGCCCAAGTGATCCAACAAACTTTTACCCTCCAACACGGTGCTTTACAAGCGGTGAGAAAGATGACGAAAATAGGGATGAGGGAGCGGCGGGCCAA